TTTCAAGAACTCCAGTCGATGGAGGAGGGTGCAGGGCTAAATTCGGTGGTAAACTGGCGGCCAGAGCCAAAGCGACAAAAATCTTCATCCGTCTGTTGAGCAGGAGAAGCAGTGTCCACTAAGAATATCAATTAAAATACGTCGAAGGCAAGACAACCAAATCATACCGGGTGGCAGTAGTTGGACCGGAAGGCCATGTTGAAAATTCAGGAAATTTAAATCTTCATCTACGTTGTAAATTAGAATAAGGCAAGTAAAGGGACGCGACAGGCGCACGATTCATATCGATCGTCACATCCGCGTAAGTTTTCCCTTGAAGAAAGGGAGAGGAGTCATATCTGCCATCCCCCGAACAAGAGTTAGGGAGAGATGTTCGAGTCAAGTCAAGAGCGACTCACATCAAGCCCGAGCTATGGTAAGTAAGTTCAACGATGGCGCTGCCATCCGTTGCATTTGAGCAATATGACGTGAAGTCGAGAGTGTTGAAATTCGATTCCATGGAAGGTCCTAACTTGTGAGGCTGGACCGATCGCTCGGAAGCTGGAGGGGGGACATTCTGCATTTTATGAGTCGTGTCAATTCATACATTGATATAGCACCGGAAGGGCCTTCTGACTCGTTCCCGTGAGAGATATAGTACACGAGTCTTTACGAGGAGCCGTCCGGTCTCCCTGGCACTTGCTGCGTGGCCGCCGTGATCATCGGGGCATTGTCAACTGCAGGCTTTGAACGCGCTAAAGCCCAGACTTTGAGATTAATATGGATCGACAAAGGAAGCGCTCAAGGTCGAAAGGCGTCCATCGATCGATGAAGGGTGCCAGTGGGGACGAGGCTCGAAGTGGAGAGTTGGGTTCGGTATGAGTGGATTGAGCACCAGTAAAGATAAATTTGGTGAGTATAATAGCGCCGCTTATTTAATAATCGTCGGGGTGGATGTCTCGCGTATGAGCTTTCTACGTTGCATCAACTGGACGCTAGATGGTAGATGTAAGTCCTGAGCTTGTTGAATCATCAGAAAGTTGAACCTGATTTTATGACATAATTGCTCGTGACTCGGATCAACGTCCCGGTACGCCGCCATCATAATCTTATCTTTCACAAAGGTTTACTAGGGTTTACTGCCACAACCTCTAGATCAACGGCGTTTTCAGCAAGTTTTCAGCTTCAAATTTGTGAGTTTCGAATACATTGATAGAAGTTCTCATCGCCCAGCGCCTACATGCGGCCACATATATTACCCTCGCAGTTTTCAATAACTCAGTTAAATGTTTAAGAAGGTAGCTGAGCCTGACGACTGCTCGGGCCGTAGCAACGTGATGGCAGGAGTGTGCTCACTTTTGTTTGCTCTGCTGACAGGCCACGTTTGACATTCGCCTGGAATCCTCACGATCTCGCATTTTTCTGGCACCCCAAAGAGTCCAATTGGCCCAGTTAGCAACTCAGATGGTTTCCCAACGTGGCTGAGTTGTTTGAATGCGTTTACAGCTTGTTTACAGCTCATAATAAGCGGAGGAAATAATAAATGATGGTTGGGGATTAGGCAAGCCTCAACTCCCTACACAACACATTCTTGTAGGAAGCCTAAATAATGCTTTCACCCTTCCGTGATAATGGTCTTTGCCAAGTTTTTGCATCCTCCAGTCCTTCAGGACCTTGCGAAGAGCTGAAACGAGACATTTATATGTTAAAGTTGGCGCCATGATACATAGGCGAGGGCACCGCGAGGATTGCGTAATGAAATTTATGTGAGCCTATACAGTTGGGGGGTATCTACGGTGGGCATCTAAGTTTGTATAGCAGGTAAGGGTATGATTAATGATTATTAATAAGAGCTATTGAATTGAGAGACGAGGCCCGGAGGCGGAGGCGCACCAACGATGCAAAAAGAAACATGGAAATATCCAATTGCTCGAGTTCGATAAGTGAAATCATTCTCTTCAACTTGAAATTGTGCCTTCCCCGTGTAAATTCTTAATGTGGCGACGAAGAGTGGTTGGTGTACCAAGCCGTTTCCCGCACCGGTCACATTTACATGGCTTCCAGCCCTCGTGAGAGTTTGCATGATCTGCACATACAAATATCAGCAATAACTCTTGAAAGGGCATAAAAAATCGGACTTAGCAGGTTATGTTTCGCGGTAAACGTCTGACCACAGTTCCGTGCATCACAACGAAACCGCCCTTCTGATTTGCGTCTCTTGGCAGTACACTCAAGAATTCGGTCGCTAGCGACCTGTCCACGATTGGTTCTGCGACCTAACCGCTTCCGACGCGGGGTGGAACTTATATCCGTTGACTGCCCTGGAGATTCTGGAACGGATTCGTCTTGTGAGAATACAAGGGGCGTCGAGGGCCCAGAAGCCTGAAATGGGGGCTCAAAAGACAAGTCTGGCTGGTCCCAAGTGGCAATGGCAGAAGAGAGAAAGTCGGGACGGTACTGTGTACCTGGGTCATCAAAGAAACTTTGGGTAGGGGCGACGAGAGGAGTGGTGTGAATGTAGTCTGTGTTGCTCTCTGTGCGGTAATGATCAGTAAAAACCTATCAATTCAGTGTGGCGGACTCGTTACTTGCTCACCAGACAGAGGTTGCCATCGGGTCGGTACCTGATTCTTAATGAGTCATTTCAGTACTGACGAATGATGAAAATAAGCGTACTTTGTAGTTAATGAGCTGTTCCCAGTAACTCAGCACATCGTTCAAAGTGTCATGTCTACGTGTTAAGCATAAGCCGACAAAGAGACACATTCAAAGCAACAGTCACTCACTGCGCGTCGAAGCGGTAGATGTTTGTGATGTTACCCACGCTCATCCCGGTGGTAAGTTATAAGATATCTTGAATGTTGGAGGTGAGGGGTAAACGATAACTGAAGAGATGTAGTAGAAGGAGGGCAGCTCGGACGGGCATGGTGATGCCTGGAGCATTATTTAAAGGCCTCAACTTGATCACTACAGCCTTGAGAGTTGCCAAAAATGGCAGGGATGGAGAAATGCACATCAGCAAGATCACAATTTACTTCTCTGCTTTTAGCGGCTTTTCTGCTTGCCACAAGCAAAGAAGCCAAAAAGCTGAGAAGCTATACCACCGAAAATGTAACAAACTGAGAAATTATGAAAAATACAATCTACATAAACCCATCCAGCTTTGTCTTCCTCCTAGGACCCCGTCTGGACCCTATTCTGGTATATACAAGCTACATATTGTATTCATGCGCAACGACAACCTGTGGTCCAGCAGATCAGATGTCAGTTTGAGCCCATGCCAGGGAGCTCAGCCTCAGCAGCCAGCATCGAGAATGTAACTGCATGAAGCAGCGTCCTCAGGCAGCGGCTAGCAGCAGTATATACTTTGAGGTCGGCACGTATGATGGAAAGGAAGAGGAAGGAAGCTCATTGGCGTCAATGGTGATGCGGTGACGTGTCACCATCACTCGTTTTAGACTCCGATCAAGTTGAACAAGATCCGTCACACCCCAAGCTTTCCCAACTTCCACGTCAACGTCCACGCTCCATGTTCCATCTTGGCTCCGTCCCGCCTTGACGTATCTCTCTTCATGGACTAACTTGGAGCTGGGCACTTCCCTCTGTGGGTCATTGCATCTTGTAAGCACATTAATCCCATCACTCTCTATTCTCTTCCAAACCCCTTCGCATCTGTCACTAGCGCTGTTCTGTTGTGGCTGCGTCCCAGCTCTGGGTTTGTCGGTACCAATCTTTTCTCTAAACAGCCGTTGCTGTCAATTTTGGGCCATGTGGAGGACTGAGCAAAGATTGAGTGTAAAGTATTAGCAAGAGGTACCGTTCATATGTCTCTTCCGTTCATTCACATTACTAATTCCTCTGTTCTATAGCCAAATCATGCCAGGTAATCTGCTACGTAGCTGGAAAAAACTGCGTAGTATAGTATGAATTGAATCAGCTTGTTATACTAACTTACATTAGTTTCTCTTTTGACGTCTTTGGCTTTTTCTCAGCTTTTTTTCACTTTTTCAACTTTTTGGTAAAGCGAAAAATTCAACTTTTATAAAAATTGGACTGGGCTTTTTGTCTTGTCGCTTTTCTACTTTTTTCCACTTGTAGCCACTTGCACAAGCTAAAAAAAGTAAACTGTTAAACTGCTGATGCAGGGTCATCCCAGTTAGTTTCCATTCATCCAGATTCATCCCCCAATGGGCCCAATCTACTCGGGGCTAGAGGGGTGGCACCGTGGCACGACCGGCAACCTAACAGTGAACGGACCTCTGAGGAAAGTCTCCCTGAATCCTAAGGGAAGATGAGTCGACGTAGGTCGACCGATGGACCGCCGAAGCGTCAGTCGCACCTCTCAGGACGAATTAAATGTCCTCGAAAACATATAGTCCATTGGTGATGGAAGATCGTCTGGAATTGGGTTTTAGTCAGAGTAGGTCAGAGTTGGCGAAGGGCAGATGGTGGCAAATTGGTGACAAAATCGTGACGCAATAATAATAATAATTCAATCGGTCAATATTTTTCCAACAATGGTTTGAAAACTTCTACTCCTCAGGCCTCAGTACTCAGTACTCAGCGCTCAACTTGTGCTCTGTTGAAAGTAAGTACCCGTTCGCAAAAGGTATTTGGATGGCCTGATAATCATACGACAGTCCCTGGCGGCCAACAAGCTGGATGTAACTTTCACAGTGGCCATTGGCTAGCGCTTTCCTGTTGACTGCTTCCCATTACCCGATATTGGTGAGTGGTGTATATTTTCTGCTGTTTCTCAGTCCATGACGACTCGCTACCATCTACTAGGGATAGCACTTCTCAAGCGGGAGCGCCGCGGGACCACCCGCGAACATAAGTTGCGTATACTTTCCCGACAAGTCCGGAACCTTTCTTCATCACTGGCATACGTCGTTCAAAAACGATCCACCGCAGATCCCCATCACTCACAAACAACAAAGCCGGCTAGTTACATGACGCCGGGGCCGTTGTTCAAGTTCTGTATATCCAGCTTCGGTGGATTTCAGTAGGTTTACGTTGGACAAGAATCAAACCTAGACTTATACCAATCTGTAGGGCTCGATTCGCCTTGTAAAGTAAAGCATAACTTGATTACAGATTGGGAGAGCACAGGTTCGCGAGATTGGTCTGGATCTACGTTTGAAAGAAATAGAAACCTGGACTTACACCAATCTCTAGGGCTCGAATCGCCATGTAAAGCTTGATTACAGATTGGCAGAACACAGGTTCGTGAGATTGGTTTGGATCATGATGATTATGAAAGCTCACCTTGGACGAATGTAATTTATGATACTGCGCACCGGGATGCCCTAGAATATCTCAAGGCCTCCAGGTCATCTGGTGTGTGGACCTCAAGTGTCAAGCCAGCTGCCATTTACTTACCGGCTCGTCTTGCTTGTAATTCGAACCAGTGTCTGACCAAACTTATTTGCTCGCGATGGGGGCAAGGTAATAACCGAATCATTGAGGGTTGAACGGGAGGTGAGGCGTAAAAATACAAGCAGGATAAAGATACGAAAGCGAAATGCAATGATCTACAACAAATGTGTGGGTATATGAACTCCAAGGAGATGTCCGTCAGTGATAATCCAAAAAAGGTCTGCCCTTCCCCAATGGCATCAAACCTTGAGCTGCACTCGTTCGCACCTCTTCTCATGGCGATCCTTGGAGGAAGAGTGCTTGAAGGCCTTCTCACACCCCGAACAATAGGACAGCAACCCCAAGTGACATTCGATATGATCTGAAACATGAATTCTCGTCAAGCGTTGAGGAAAGTATCATCAATAAACGTACTATTCAAGTTATGTTCACTTGTGAATGTCGCCTTGCACAGTCCTTCGAACATCGTGCATCGATACTTCGCTTCGTGCTTCCTGCGTAACTTGCTGGCAGCATAAATATTTGGTGAACCGATAGGATGAAAGTTGGGTAGGCCCGAATCGACATCTATATCCCCACTCTCATGCTCGTTACCTTTCAAGTTGTGAGCGGGTAAGCTGGGGGATGTCGCAAGGAGTGAATTTGTCTTGCCTGAAGACCGAGATGAGATGTCTTCTCTTGGCGCTTGTGGCATTGTCTTTGATGGGACGGCCTTCCTTGAAGTACGCGACGTCATCTTGGAGGAGGCACGTTCCCTCGCAGTTCGTGTTACCTTCTTGGATGGTTGACGCCCAGAATCCCCCAACGGTAAACTGGGAAGAGAAGGGGATGGGGAATGAGTGAAGTCAGCCTGGCATCTTTGCACACCTCCCTTCCTACAGGTGCCAGCATCTCCCAGATAGATTGCGGACGGCACGACGAAGCGACCACTGTGCCGATAATATATCAAATTGTTCGTCCTGCATCTTTGCTCATATAGCGAAGAGGTCGTTGCATCATCAGTAGAACTAATGGACGATGTGGGAACGAGGGAACCGACAGGAAGACGACGCATGACAGGGTATGAGGGATTTCCCCTAGATTTAAGGGACGTGATCGATGGAAAACAGCCACCGTTCCACTTCACCTCGTTGAATGACTGGTGTAAACTGTATGCTGAGTGATACTGGGTTGCATCTACTTCGTCCATTCCCGGCTGGATGTCATTCCACCCGCTTTTAAAAGCAGAAGCGGAACGAGGGTCAAGTGGGGCTTCTGGAGGCGGAAAACACGTCTGACTAGCGCGTGGAGAGGTGTGAGCACGGTCATCCTGTCCAAGGGGGGGTGGTCCACGCGATGGGGGGTAATCGTCCACACTGGCAGGTTGAGGAGCCTGATACCCATCCTGGATATCATTCTGCACGTAGACTTCCGCATCAGGATTATTTGATGAGAATAAAAGAGATGTTATCGAGGCAGGATCAAGAGAGACTTGTGAACATTCCGGAGACATTAAAAGTAAAGGCGGGAGAGCAGGTGAAGAGGGTGCAGCTTGGTCACGGTCCGTCTGCACGTCACGGCAGTCTGGCAGCGGGATGCTTGTATTGGACATGGTTAACTCTCCCAGCGTATCAAAGATGTTTGGGGTACACGGGGGAGATATGTCAGCAAGGGTGCTGACGGGTGCTAGGAAACAGAGGAGAGATCAGGGAGGCCATCGATAGACTCTTTGTAACACTTACATAGATCTGAGATCAACAAGCTGGGTGTACTCTCCAGAGACCAAGAGCCGCTGTCTGCTGATTCACCGTTGAGTCCCAAGACATCTAGAATAAGGTGAGAACCACGATTTCGAATGAGGGCAACTCATTGGACTTGCCTTGAATGTCATCAAGGCATTGGTAAGGATATTCTGGGAGCAATTCTACAGGTAGGTTGAGAGAAAGTGAGGCCATCAGATAGATCATTGATTTCAACACACCTTCAGAGCGTGAGTCGTCGAGGGATGAACTAGGTGAGAGCTGGAGAAGGTCACCAGGGAATACCTGAATGCGTGGATCGATAGGCTTCCTAGAAAATCTCAAGTCAACGCGGAGGTAGGTCAGCGACTCTGGAAAACCATTGTCGAAGGAGAGTGCCACTGACAACAGGGTGACCGTGTTACTATCCATAGCCTTCAAGTGTGCCAGCGGCGCGTCCTCGAGCTCGAGATACATAACTTCGGAAAATTGGGTTAATTAAAGTGGGGGAGATGGAGAGGAGTGAAGGGGAGGAGGAAGGGGCAGCTTACAATCAAGAAACGACGCGCTAGTCTTTAAGGGCCCGGAGAAATCAACCCTTTCCTCGAACCAACATAATTGCCGCGGCAACGGGGCACTGCAAATCTCCGGGGTTCGTGTGTGGGGACAAATCCCATGGTTGACAGTGCAATTTATCGAATAGGTGGCCAACTTCGATCAACACACGATCAAGTTCCAGCTCAAACTAGTACTACGATCGCGAGTGACTAGTGGCATCGTTTGTGTCTGTTGAATTCAGAGCTTTGCACATGCTTGACTTTCCTTGCCCACACCCAACCCACACCGAAGAGTTTTGTCAAGTTGAGGCCTAAACCACACAGTGGTTAGAACTCCAAAAGGTGGGTGTAACCATCTACATTGTATAATAATATAAATCCCGTTTGCAGTAGTATATTGAAGAATCAATAATAGGACTCGGATTCAAAACCTGTCTCCCGGATCCCGCCCCAACACACCTGTCACACCCACCGCCGCGCTTGATGGCCCCAAAACCATGCCGACACTTCCTCCTTCCTCTTTCATGCGACACGCCCTGCGCACCATCCCCCGGGCGCTTGCGCCTCGCGGCCCCCTCCCCCGATGACCAACCGCTCTGACATCTGTCTCCGCTTCCTTGAATTCTGCGGCCTGCCATAGTCTGCCATTCATGGAATTCAGCACTGCTTAAACATCAAGGGCCCTCCGTTTCATAGGTTACAGACTGTCTTATGCAAGTGTTCAGTCAGCCTTCTGAGCATCTCACACGCAAGTATCTGAGCTGTGCTTGAGAAAAAAGCGTGTGTCTTTGGTGTGTACATGTCCGAGTCTATTATCACGTCTAAGTATTCGCCACTCAGCGAGTTTTTTTTCTGCTTGTTTAGTGACGCATAATTATATCAACAATTTCGAAAGAGCAATTCTCAAGTTTTGTTCTATTCATCTTCAATACCATTTGATTATTAGAATGAGGTGGTGAAGTGGATTCCTTTTGTCGTCTCATGTGGTCTTGTTGTTTGCTGTGGGTCCCGCACACGCGTAAAACACGTTGTCCTTGTACTTGCTGCGAATAAACGGCATCGATTAGATTCAAAGCACCGAATTGACAATACAAAGGCTTCCTTTTTAGAAGTATGTGTGCACCTCAGAATGAAACTCAAAAACGAGGGCGCGATATTCGTTAGATCTTTTGAAAACGGATCAGGACCTTGCTCAACATGAGTCACAAAAATCAGCACTGAAGCCTCAAAGTGGCAAGTTCGCCGTTGCGCTCGCTACTACCGTTTTAAACATCTCCAGGGGACAGCGTGATAGGGGTCTCCTCCTCCTCCTCCTCCACCCTGAATTCACTTAACCAGCTGAACGTACCTCAAAGACTACGTCAGCGGACGTCGGGACGGAGGGTTGATTCCCTTTGGTTCCTCGGTCCGAGAACAAACCCTGCGAGCATTGCGATAATTATAAGGCCTCTGGATTGATGAACTGACTTGTGCCTTTTGTCTGAAATTCATCAGTTGAGCGGTACGGGGGGCATAGGTTAACTGACTGTTGAA